TAATTAACTGAATGGAGAATATCTAATTAGTTATGACCAAAAGTAAATGTTCTTTTTTCTCTATACCCTTCTTAACACACACACACACACACACACACACACACACACACACACAATAGTGACAGCAGAGTCTTAACTTTTATATATAATCATTAAGTGAAGAACACTGTTCCCTGTGGGGAAGTATTTTTAAAAATATGTGTTTATGTATTTAATTTCAGTAGATATAAATGCAAAAATACAATTATTTGACAAATAAGATAACTTATCTATATTACTGTATAGACCAAACACATTAGTTTTGGAAACAGAACTGTAAAGGTTTACCTTTCTGGACCCTTATTTTATTGGTAAGAAAACAGGACTAAGAAAGATAAGGTTTGAGCAAAACTCAAATTTTTGAACACCTAGGCCAGTTCCTTCTTCCAATATTACATATTCTATGAGCAAAAGTCACTGGTAATAACAGTATATAGTTTGACATCAGATACTTAAATACACTTCACATTCTAAGTGAGTTACTTTCTGATTTACAGAATAATGTTCTTAACACAATGAGAACTTAATAAAACAGCGTTAAGTCCTCAGAAAATGGTATAAATATTGCTTACTTGTGGGTTACTTATGGGCTTGCAATATAGTGTAACTTTGAATAAAAGGAAATGGAAGTTTAAATAACACAAATTAAAGTCAATGTCACCAATATTGAAAACTGAATAGGCCTGGCCGGTGTGACTCAGTGGTTGAACATAAGCTATGAACCAGGAGATCATGGTTTGATTCTAGTCAGAGCACATGCCTGGGTTGTGGGCTTGATCCACAATATTGGGCATGTAGAAGGCAGCTGATCAATGTATCTATCTCATCATTGATGTTTCCAGTTCTCTCTCCCTGTCCCTTCCTCTCTGACATTAATAAAACACATTAAAAAAGAAAGTTGTGGATGTTATGATGAGCTGAGAATTAAGATTTTCCCATAGTTCTCTGAGCACTGAGGGATCCTGACTGACAGCTGGTGGGCCACCAGGTCCCCATGAATCACCTTTACTTATTCCTGCTTCCATCGCCCAGAGTCTATGAGTTTTGCTTTGAAAAGCTGTAACTGCCACCTTATTTGGAGACCTAAGTTTGAACTACTAGAGCAATGACAGAGAATCAGAAGTGCCTGTGATACTGTTTTCCACCCCCATGAACATTTCCATTAAGGCCTGTCACAAACGATCAATTGGATGAAGAGGATGGAATCTCAGCTTCTTTGTTTCCATAATACGGACTCTGAGATGTAATTCAGATTCCAGAGCTCCCCTTAGTCACTCTGTGTTTGACTGGCATCACCCTTCATACTCTTGCTTCCTCCATTTTCTTGCCAGTTCTCCTGGGAGTTTTCTTCCTCACTTGTATGCATATTCCTGCCTCAGGTTGGGTTTTTGGCTAACTCAACCCAAGGCAACTATGGAAGCTATTTAAGATCCACCCATCCATTGATATTTATCTATACTGTTACCTCCCTCTCTCTTTCCTTTCTCACCTTCATTCTGCATCCCACTCTACCCCAATAAACATATGGCATACAACCTATTCCATTCTAGAATTCTCTATTCTCATAGAATCATACACAAATATGCACATATGGAGGAATATTTGTGTTTCCAAAGTAGGATTATTTGCACCTACAGGGTGTGGCAAAAATAGGTTTATAGTTGTGTGTATGGAAAATACAATCATAGATAAATAATAATAAAAGTATAAACTCTGTGTTTCATGGACTCATAACGTTTTGCCCACCTGTATACTTGTGTCCTGTTTTTTCTTACTGGACAATATTTAGGTTCCTAATAACAAAGGAAATTATTTTTAACTAAGAGCGCTTTTGTTATTTGCCTTAGTTATAAGCTTAAATAAAAACATTTTTTTGGAAGGAGAAATCATGCTATAAATGCTGATATGTAAAATGTTTAGTTCGAATTTGAACTCATAGTTGGGAAAAGTTTCAATGCTGCCAATCATTTTATGCTCTCTCTCTCTCTGAAAATTTTATGTTCTAACATGTTTGATTGGCTGCTTTTACAGTGTGCACGAATATATAAAAATATAATATGTTTAGTTTTTACACAATTCCCATACTATTATGTTCTGATTTCATATTATACTAGAGGCCCGTTGCATGAAGATTCGTGCAATAGGCCTTCCCTTCCTTGGCGGCTGGCACCAGTTTCCTCCGGCACCCGGGGCCCAGGTTGTCACTCTGGCGCTGCCTTCTGTCTTTGTTCCGGCTGGAGCCTTCAGTCTTCACTGCGGCCAGAGTGCTGCTCCTGTAGCTCCCTCCGCCCCCATCATCCCCTTCATAGCAGGCGTCCCGCCCCATCTGACCACTCCATGCATGCTGCCCAGAGGCCTGGAGAGGGTGGGGGTGCAGGGCTGCTGCCATCTTTGTTGGGTTAATTTGCATACTCCTGATTGGCTGGTGGGTGTTGTGAAGTAACAGTCAATTTGCATATTTCTCTTTTATTAGTGTAGATTTTATCCTAATATGTCCCTAAGGCTTACATAAATAGCATTTAATACTGATTTAGTGTGCTTTTCATCTTCAAGTTTGTTTATAATTCAATTTTACAACCTACTAGAATGGTTGATATCTTCATTTCCATTTTGTAAATATAAAGTCTGAGACATAGGGAGATTAAATGACTTTTTCCTGGCCATAAACATAACAAGAGTCATAAATTTAAAATCCTAAACTTTCAACTCTATGTTTAATCCATTTTCTTAGAAAATAAGCTCCTTCAAAATATTATTTATTCCATAATTAAAACATAACTATTGTGTCAGTTAGCACCTCTCAGACCTTATGGATTTCTAAAATCTTGATTGGATGAATGTGGTTCCCTTTTTATAGAATCTGTATAATTTGTCCTTAATTGGAAATATTGGAAGTTATTTGGAAGTTATCTTCATCTTCAAACATGATGTAGAAATGACTATAAAATAAGAGTGGTCTGCTGTGTATGAAATATAACCTTTATAAAATGTGAAGAGATATTTTCATTCTGAAAGTTGTTTATATGTGTGTGTGTGCATAGATTTTTAAATGACCAGAATTTGTGAATACATGAAGATCTATTAAATTAGATAACAGAATCCTATATAATAAAAGGGTAATATGCAATTGACCAAACAGTGGAAAGGCCAATTGCTGTGACACGCACTGACCACCTGGGGGCAGACAATGTAGGAGTTGCCCCCTGGTGGTCAGTGAGCTTCCACAGGAGCTATTTAAGTAAGCTTCTGAAGCCAGGCTCATGACTGGTGAGCACAACGGTGGTGGCAGCAGCCTCTCTCACCTCCGAGGCAATGTTAAGGTTGTCTGACTGCCCATTTCCCAAGGGGAACTGGCTTATGTCATCAGTTGGACATTCTTAGAGAGCTCCTGCACAGGCTGGGCTGAGGGACCCTTCCCCCTTCAGTACACAAATCTTATGCACTGGGCCTCTAGTATTTGTATATTCTCGTGGCAGCATGCTACAGGTTGTAACATTTGAAAGGATAGTCCAATAAGATATCTAAACACATGCTGGCATGGCTAACGTGCAGAATCTATAACCCAATTTAAACTCAGTAAATTCTTCCTTTTTTAGACTATGAATTATCCATGTGAACTTATGATAGTGACAGTTTTCATTGACTATCTAATGCTGACATTACTGGAGTATCAAAATGGATACAGCCATGTTACTGAATTACCGCGCCTTTTCTCAAACTTACATTTGCTCAGAAGCAATAGAATAGAAAAATATTTTTGTTTCTCTTCTTGCCTCATATTCCTTTAGAGGAGACCTAAATTTGTTAATGATATTTCTTTGCTTCTAGTAAGTTAGAGAAATGTTAGAAGTTCATGCTAATTGTAGTATACCATTGAATATGATATACAATTGTTACATTTAAATTTTAAATCTAACGTTCCCTGGATCAACATTCCCTGTATCGATGCTCCCTGTGTCAATATTCCATAGTAGCACAATAGGTCTATCAAAATTGACCATGTGGTCTGCTGTAATATTTATAGTAACACTAGCATATGGTGAGGAATGGGGGAAGGGAGCATAAAAAAGAGTGTGAAAAGAACAAAGGTAAATATATAATTCATGAAAATATCATAATTGAGAACTATTTCAAATGATAATCTGAAAATTAAGTTCACCAGTGGATTTATTATTAAAATATTAACCATTTTATTTTTGCTAGATTCTTATATAATAAAACAGTTGACCTCAGAATGTAAAGAAAAAATATAAAAGATCAGCTATTACCACATATCTCTTAAATAATCCTTTCCAAATTATAAAAATTTTTCCAAAAATTTATTTTTGGACCTTACCCGAGGATATTTTTCCACTGATTAATTTTTTTATAGAGGGAAAGAGAGAAGGAAAGACAGAGAAATATCGATGTGAGAGAAACACATTGATTGGTTGCCTCCTGCACATGGTCTGACCAGGCCCAGGCAGAGGAAAAGCCTGTAGCCCAGGTACGTGCCCTTGACTGGAATTGAACCTGGAACCCTTCAGTCCGCAGGCCGACGCTCTATCCACTGTGCCAAACCAGCTAAGGCTGTAACTTTAAATCCTTGGCAAGTAATATGACCTATACAAACTCTGTTTAGGTTATAATAATTCCATTTTACTATTTCTTCTCCAGTGAATTTAGAAACGATGTTATGTCAACAGAACTGTAAGTTGCAGGAATTAGTACTTCTTACAATTTGGTAAAACTCCCTAGAATAAGATAAAGACCTTGTCTGACATAAGACAAGATAAGTTAATTAAGACATTATATCCACAATAGTAAATTAGAGAGAATTCAAAAATATAGTAGGTATTTGGTTAGGCCAAAGAAGAACAGTTTTTAAAGTGAGATAATATCGTATCATAACATGCTCAGTATATACATATATACACATATATGTATATGTAACTTTTTAGGAAGCTCTGAATAAGACCTACTTTCTCATAGTACTTGATCTCGTAGTCCAGTATGGCTCCATTGGGAAAAGCAGGTGCTTGCCACGACAGGGCAATGCTATTTTGGGATGCCCAGTCCTTCCTTACCATACCTATCAGGGAAGGCGCTGAAATGAAAGAAAATAACTAAGAATTAATTGGCAGGAATCATATATTCCAAAATCCTTTATGTAATATTTTTCTTCCCAAAATACGTAATTATTGATGAGCAGGAATAAAGTATAGGTGTCAGATTAATAAAGCAGCCTTAGGATCTTCTCTACTCAATCTAAATAAAGTATCTATAATAATAAAAGCGTAATATGCTAATGAGACTTGATGGCCTTCTGGACGAAGCCAGGGCTGTGAGGGAAACACAGGCCCTGGGTACCAGAGGGAAGCTGGTGCCAGGGGAAGGAAGGCCTACTCTTTGACAAATTCTGTGCATCGGGCCTCTAGTTAAAATAGATTTAGAAATACTATCAGGGAACACAGGAAAACTTTAAGTAGCCCAAGAATAAGGTCCAGAACTCATCATCTTTGGTTTTGTTAGAGGAGGACATTTTTCTTTAAACTGATTTTGGCTTTACATGAAGTGTGATACACTTGGCTCCTATGTTTTATTAAATCTAAATCTTCTATAGAAAAATCCTCTGCAATGACAAGATCATTTATATGCTCTTCTTTCAAGACTTAGGACTTATAAAGTCTTAATATTTTACATATGTTTACATCACAAACTTCTTAGACCCTGTCCAGATAGCTCAGTTGGCTAGAGCATTGTCTTGCAAAGCCAAGGTTGCAGATTCCATCCCTGGTCAGGGCATGTACAAGAATCAGCCAATGAATGCATAAATAAGTGGAACAACAAATGGATGTTTCTCTCTTCCTTCCTCTCTAAAAAAACTACTTAGGACTTTATAAAGTCTTAGTACTTTATAAAAATTTATATCATAAAGTTCTTAACTACAGTAAGTTATTGCCTATCAATGTAAGAATTATTGGCATGGTTTCTGTTGCATTTGAATAAAATTGAAATAATTGACTTCTGAAATTTATTTTCAGAATCATGTCTTCCTGTCTGTCTATGACACTGTTTTAACAATTTAACCTTAGCCTAAAGTAATCTTATTAAACTCCCCAAACTTATCTAAATTATATATATTGTAAATGTGTTTTTATAACAAAGTACTTTTCATTTTAAGTTTTCTACTTTTTAAAAGTTTTTTTTACATAGATGTTAAAACTCATACATAAAAAGAATAATATAAATCAAGTATACTGGGATACTATTCTTTATCTACCGAGTTGGCCAAAAATATCCAAAAATCTGAACCAGGTTCTCTGTTGAAAAGGCCCTGGCGCCCTGGTGGAAAAGGACTTTAATGCATCATTGGGGGTTGGGGGTGAAGAATGCAAAATGGTTCAACTCTTATAAAGGGAAATTCAACAACTTGAGGCCAATTCTAGGTTCATTTATACTTTGGCTTTTTGGAATTCATCTTAAAGATACATTGCACAAATAAAAAGTGATATATTTATAAGCCTACTCACTGACAATTGTTTGTAATGACTGGAAACAATTTAAATATCCACCAATACCAAATTCTTTGAAAAACTATGTTACATCTATCAGAGAATTATGATGTTATAAAAAGGAATTGTGACTATCTATAAAGACTACAATGGCATAATCTCAGGATATATTTTTAAGTGATAAAACTAAGGTGGTGGAGAAAAATACATAAAATACAATATAAGGAGAAATTTAGAAATAGAAAACAACAACAACAGTTACCCCTATAGGATGGAGACTACAGAGTTAAAAGCTCAATGTCTCTGACTATAGCTTCCATTTAAGATTTATTTTGGAATCCTGTAAATATTTTTAAGTGCTAGAAAACAAGTTAACATTTTAAAAAGGGAACTCTAGCATACTGCTAGTGGGAATGCAAACTGGTACAGCAATTGTGGAGAACACTAAAAGTTAAAAAGGAGCTGTCATTTGACCCTCTTCTGGGAATCTATCCTCGGAATCCTGAAACACCAACCAGAAAGAATGTATGCACCCCTATGTTCATGGCAACACAAGTTACAGTAGCTAAAATCTGGAAACAGCCAAAGCATGCAACAGTTGATGACTGGATAAAAATTCTGTGATACATTTACACAATGGAATACTATGTGGCTGTAAAAAAGAAGGAACTCTTATTATTTAAGACAATCCTGATGGACTTGGAAAATATTATGCTAAGTGAAATAAGCCAGAGAAAGACAAGTATCACATGATCTTATTTATACGTGGAATCTAATCCTATATAATAAAAGGCTAATATGCAAATCAACCAAATGACAGAAAAATTAGTCATTGCACTGACCAACAGGGGGCAGATGCTCAACCCAGGAGCTGCCCCCTGGTTGTCAGTGCACTCTCACAGGGGGAGTGCCATTCAGCCAGAAACCAGACTCATGGCAGGCAAGTACAGCAGTTGTGGCGGGAGCCTCTCCCAACTCCACAGCAGAGCTAAGGATATCCGAGCGGGCCTATGCCATCAGTCAGACATCCCCTGGGGGCTCCCAGACTGCAAGAGGGCACAGGTTGGGGGGCCCCCTCTCCCAACAGTGCATGGGTTTTGTGACTGGGCCTTTAAGTGAATAAAATAAACTGATGAACAAAATAGGTCCAGAGGCATGAATACATGAAATGACTGACAAATGGCAGAGGGGAGTATGGTGTGGGAGACTGGAAGGATTACCCAAAGAACATATATGCATGTATACATAGCCCATGGACACAGACAATAATGTGGTGAAGGCTTGGGGCTGGAATAGGTTGGAGGGGGGCAAAGGCAGGAAAGTGGGGAGATGTCTGTAATACTATCAACAATAAAAAAAAGCAATTTTGAAAAATTAGAAGAAAAATAAAAGAAAGAAATGGGTATTGAATTGGATGCATAAATTCCAAGATTAACTACTCAAAGTGACTTTAAAACACAGTAACTTTACACCTCTATAAAAAAATCTATAAAACATGGAATATGTTTTATAGATTTTTAAAAAACTGTAAAATTATTAAATTATTTTTAGTAAGGATATTATTGATGGTGGTACTGGAGTTGTAATTCAGAACCTGTGTCCATATATTAAGGAATAAAGCAAATGAATAATTATGTTGGTGTCATTGGTAACTAGGGCTTTTTCTTTTCTCCTAGTGAGAAAGGGAGTACAGATATCAGTTCAATAAAGTATGTAAATACCCTATAGTAGTAAACTCAAATTAGAAATATATTCATGAACTCATGATATCTTTCTAATTCATTTTCAGAAATCCATTCAAATATACCAATCACTGGTTAGTATAGGATTTGAAAAAAAGTTGCTTCTCTATGATTATGGTGAATATACTTTAAATTTCTAAGAAAAACTCAAGTATTAAGTTTGGTGTTTTATGTCTGAATGTTGCTTTTCTATCTTAAGGATAAAATACGGTATCTTTTTAAACTTGTGAGAATGACAAGTTTGGTTCCTCTAAGGAAGTGAGTACTTTAGAAACTACATTTAAAATCCTTTCCAGATGATGAATGAAAGCACTATTATTGGACTAAAACATATTCTTAAAGATGAATAATAATTATAGAAATTGCTAAGAAACAGAAAAGTTTGTGATAGAAGCTAAAACAGATATGGATAATGTAAATAAGAAAACGTGCTCAGATAATTCACGTTTGAATTGAATTACATTCGCTACGAATAAGCTACCATTAAAAATTTATCCATGTTGACCGGTTTGGCTCAATGGATAGAGCGTCAGCTTGGGGACTGAAGGGTCCCAGGTTCGATTCCGGTCAAGGGCATGTACCTTGGTTGCGGGCACATCCCCAGTGGGGGGTGTGCAAGAGGCAGCGGATCGATGACTCTCTCTCATCGATGTTTCTAACTCTCTATCTCTCTCCCTTCCTCTCTGTACAAATCAATAAAATATATTAAAAAAAATTTTACTCGTGTTGGAAACTACACTAATGTTCTTTGAACTATAGTGTAACTAGAGGCCCAGCACATGTGAAATCGCGCACAAGTAGCTCATTTCCTCTTGCCTCAGCTGGCTGCCTCTCCTGCTGCTGCTCACAGGTCTCAGCTGCTAGGAGCTCTTGCTCCGCCCTGCCCGCTGCAGGAGCTGCCGCTCCTTTGGTCCTGACGGTGTCGCGGCGTCATGGCCACAGGCATTTTATTAGTATAGATACTGTCTTAAATAGCACTTTACAGAAAAATTAAAACTCTCAAGTGAACCATACAAATTATAAATTGATGTCAGTATGTCAATGTATTACAATTTTGAGAATGTCTTTTCCATAAGTATACATCTTATGGCTAATTTTCAGTTTAATGTACAATGTCATAATGCAACATTACCAGTGTATCACATTTTGCTTCATAATTATTTAGCATTCAAGATCAAATAATATAATCTTTGCAAAACATATAAGACATTCAATTATAGCGGCAGTATATTAGAATAACTTTTAATTCAAATATAGATACTATCTTTTCTATTTAAATTTCTTCAATGGTCAATTAGTCATATAGGTAGAGCACCTAAATTGTATGAGTCCTCCCCTTTATGTCTATAAAATAGACATAAAGGGACTCTATTCCCTAGCTAAGTCTAAAAAATATCTTCACTTTTGCACATTTATTTCATAGGTAAATTTTCACATTTTACATATTTTTAAAATATATGTCATTTATATAATTCTATTTTTAACCATATTGCAAACCTCAGTCCACAATATGATATGAACTCCACAATTATTAATTTAATAGTTAAATTATTAAGTTATGTGGATATTTTATCAAGTCTTTCCTTTAATATCAGATATTAAAATTCCAATATTGTCCTGTTAGTGTTCTCACATTTTATGGACAAATTTTTGATTTTCTTAAATATTTTATAGAGAAAAATTGCTTCAATTAATTTGGATTTTCTGTGCCAGTATGTAATAACATATTGCTTTTGAAAAGAGCTGTATCAATACACACTAGGCACACACTTTAAATAGTTATTGAGTTAAAACAGAGGCTGTTGGAAATAATTTATAAGTCAATATATACCCCAAAGGCTCCCTTTTCT